AGTCAGATGAAGCTAGACCACCATTGAAAACCTGGAAGCACTGGACGGTTTTCAATGGTGGTCTAGCTTCAACTGACTCATGATTTTAACCTGTGAAATTTCTAAAAACTCTCCACAAAACCCATTCTGATAATGTCATGTTGTTTTGTCATTATCAGTTGAATTATTTCGTTTCTCCTTTGTGTATAATGTTTATAAATAAACATGTGGACTGGAGGTAAATGAAGTGCTATATTCAAAGTAGCGTGAAAATGAACACTGGGAAACGGGTACACTCAACCGATGAGACCCAAATGGGACGAGACATACATATAAGGTTTCAAGACTCACTATGATCCAAAAAGCTAACGATGATCCTTAAGAGAGTTACTTGGACAGATTTCATTATCTTAGTGAAAATGTTCTCTTTTATACATAAGATGTACTTTATCAGCACATATAAATTACATAGTATGATTATAAATCATCTTAATATATTAAGAGAATATCTAACTAGTGGATTTGTTTAAATTTATGCTGGTAGTGTTACTTGAACAAACAATGAATGCTTTATAGTTAAGAGTATTGAAAATAGAACACTGCGAAAATGATTATAAAACAAATAGCCTTCTCTTTGTTTAGAATACGTTTAAATAATACGTTTAAAGTGCTGAAATTCATTTTTTACAATTAAACATAACAACTTTGTTAGCTGTTACAAAAATTAACGATAAAAAGTTTGAATTACAACAACCGACTATTAGCTAATATTGGTTTGAGGTAATTCATAAAAACGTACTCTTCAAAAAGTTGACTACATAAAGAATATTGATGCCAGGTTGCACTATAATGGATGTGATGAGATCAGACAGGTTCAGATAAACCCAAACATAAGATCCATATAATTTTCTACATTATCCATAAGATATTACTGTAATATGATTTTTCAGAGACGCTAGAGATCATGTTCATACCTGTTTGAAAACACCATTTATTAATCAAACATGTAACAAGATGAAAATAAAACAAGAATAATTAATTTCAAGTTTTTAAAAGTGGTTAGTTGTATCATGTTGTTTAAGATATTTTCAGAAGTAGTCACTCATGAGATATGGAGCAACAGAAACTAATTACGATGAGGTTACTACATTGGAATCCTATTACCAAAATTCTGTCATAACGTATATTTACTGTCATCCACTGAAACTAGCTATTAGGTTTTTCAATGAAAAAGTAAGTAATATTTACTAAATCAATTCTATTTATAAATTAAGTACTCAGAAGGGTATTAGAAGGCAAATTAAAAAGTATCCACTATGAAATTTTAACCTAGTGATAGGAAATGGAAATCTATCGTCTTCCTTTCTTTGAATTTCGAACACATTAAACAGAAAGAACTGAACAGTTCCAACGGAAAGTCGAAGTTCCGAGAATAAGCAACTGTCTTTGAATAAGGATTAAACATTATAAATTGGTATTCTAATGTGTATAAATTTGATATCTGAACACTTACAGAACATGTTGAGGTCTCGTTGAATGTAAAATTAATTATCAGTATGGGTTTGTGGAGATCATTACGTTTGTAAATGAGATCATGAACTGATTGATCCAACGGTGTTCATGTCTAACCTAAAGTTTGAATAAAATGTGTCCTGTATCTTTTAATTACTGAAAGCACATAAGTATAAACAAGTAAACAAGAAGTCAGATGATAAATATTATCAAAAGAAGCATCAAAAGAAACATCAATGCTAATAATTTTCACACTCGATAGAAAAATAGCTTTCCTCAATAGGTACTTTCTATTTGTATTTTCACGAATTTTCTCTTCATAACAAACAGCTGTTTCTCAAAAAATATACTTATCGTCGCAATGCAAATTTCTGAATGTATACAAAGGTGAATTGCCAGAAGAGTTTCAAAGCACATTAATCAAAAAGGTTGACAATGTAATTTATAGAGGTAGGATAACAATGACAATACGACAGAATACATATTCACTAGCATATTATTATTCTTAACAGGGAAGGATTTTCCGTCACTTATAGCTATTGTCTATTCAAGTAATAGCCGGTGTAGAGTCTGGGAAGATTAGCGTTAACATACTTTTTCATATCACATCAGCACAGAGAGATGAAATTAACAAGATTAGTAAAAATGGGTTGAATTGTTAGTAAAATAAATGATAGTTAGAAAGACTAAACATCGGAAATATGTTTCGAAAAGACAGAATGAAAAGAAGGTATTTATTAGACAGAGTTGAAACTAAAAACGTAGTGTTTCATAAGCAAAGATGAATAGTGGCTAGCAATGCAATCCAGGACGCTCGTTTCGTCCTATTTGGGACTCGTCAGCTGGATGTGCCTGCATTCCAGAGTTGATATTCAATCCGGGACTCGGATCCGATACCATTCTCTTCAAACGCCACCGCGTTATCCACTTAGCTACTGAGTCCTGATAGCCACTTGCTTGTGCAATGGGGTGTGCTGGGTTTGAGTCCTGGAGTGAACATCAACTCTGGGATGCAGGCATATCCAGCTGAAGAGTCTCAAATAGGACAAAACCAGCGTCCTGGATTCCACTGCTAGCCATCTTTGCTTATAAAGTTTGTGACTTAAGGCAATATCGAGGCAATCCGCACAGGATGCACATATACCAACAAGAGACTGATCAACTGCAGTTCTAAACAACAATGGGAAGATACAAGCAAACAACGCCAATTAAATTTAAAAACGTTGTTGTTGAAAATAGTGGATATATCTGAGTTATTGTGACCGATTCTTATTCATGTCACTTAAAGTTTTTCAACACTGATCGCGATTTTCATATGAACCCCAACCAAATCCTATGCATCTACTAACGCAACACAGTCCGGAAGCTAAAGATTTCATGAACTCATGCCATGTTTTCGTTTGGGGGCTAATTTACTTTTACTCGAACCAATATTGTACGTGGAGATAAATAGTTATCGGGCATACGTAACATATTACAGCTATTTTAGTTCATAAAGACATCATCTTAAATATAACCTGAGGATTGCTTCATCGTTCCACTATATTTAAGAGCGACTTAGAAGATAACTGTGATAATATACTTGAAACCTAACCATGTGGGAAGAATACGATTAACTGAAAATTTGTTATGTAAAATTGATTTTATGCAGTTTCTTGATCGTTTGTCTACACAGGGTCTCGAAATATCATTTTCTGCAACCATTACATCTCTCTAACCTGGAATGACAAGAGTAAGTAGAGACTATCATAATAGTGTTAAATGTCTACAGAGTAATCTAATCATCATTCAGTGTTTCTGATAAGTGGTTAATGATCTTACAATGTTTATTCACTTTGACTGTAGTGATCTGATGTGATAACTTCTTGTAATATTATTTTTATTTACCTCATTGATAATTTATGATAATCAAAATCTATTTTTGAAACTATCAATTTACAGAGGATATTCATTTTTAAATAGATGAAAATTTTTTTCATGTGATTGCTTATATTGAAAAATTAGTGTAATGAATAATTAAGAACTTGAATAGAATATAGAAAAAAAGGTACGCATATTTCAAACACTTATGATATTTGAATCAATGATTAAACACTTCTCGTTTATTTAGCTTTAATTTTCAGACAAGTGATGTGATTTATATGGAGATATAGGTATCTTATAAGGCTTATAAACATTTTAAAGACTACCACAGATAAAATCGATTAATATAATGATTCAAAATCCATGATTCATAGTCAGGTTTATGTAATGGTTGTTTAACTCGGATAAAGTGAATTTGAATTTAAAGTTCTCCGCATGCTTGGAGTCCATTTTCTATGGAGGTGTTCATTCACACTTTGACAAACGCACGTATAGATTAAATATCACTGTCATGAGATAAAACTCAGTCTACTTTTAATCATTCCCTTATCGTAGGTCAGCCTGGTATATCAAATAAGGAAGTCTGTACACTCAACAATGAAAATCAAAAGATGCTTACCAAAAACGGACGACTGTAGACAACCAATGAAAACAAATGACTGGAAACGCCAGGCTGTTGATTTTTCAAATAGCATTCCTACTACTTATAAGTAGCTACGTATGGTTAACGATGTTTGAATTCTTCATCACAAGGCTACTTTCGGATTCTCTCAGAGAAAAGTGCTTGCTTAAATTCATGGTCATATTAATTTAAGATCTCAGGTATCATTCAATGAATGAAAATAACTCACCAATACATCGTAGTAGAGATATAATCTCCACTGTCATTTATATGCAGAAAAAGAAACGTGATAAGATTCCTTTTATTTCAAATGCAGACACGTTTAGAAGTAAGAAAATGTTACTATTAAAACTCCAATATCAATATGAACGTTAATGCTCGAATTCTGAAACCCATCGAAAATTAAAAAAACTAACTTTCTTTGAGCTGAGAGTTATTAATTTATAAGTCTAAAAAACTGATATTACCATGGTAGCTGTTCCTACGGTGCAAGTAAACTGATGTTTCCATAATGTTGCCAAATAATTGTAGGTCAACATACTGTAATGGATGAGAATTAGAGATGTAAATCAAAATAACGACTATAGAACACGAATTATTACACTTCGTCTTTTTAGTAAAAGATGAATATATTCAGTCATACGGCCCACATCTATAGATATATGATTGTTGGAGGCTCATAAAGAGTGGAAATAATTACCGAATACATTATTGATTAAATTAGAACTGAAAATATGTATTACTGACGAAAGCTATTGTTTCCGCATATTATCTATTGCTATTAAATTCCATAATTTAAGGAAAACTAGACCTTATGCTAAAAAAACAGCGTGTTTAACAAATATATCCATATGAACCTCTGCTGTAAATTTTGACCAATCAGGATGCAATATTGTCAGCTAGATATAATATATAATGCAGTGTCAGGCAATCATGGCATTAGGAGTGCTGCGCTTTACTGTATGCATTGCGGTTGTGCCCTTGTGATTGGCTGGTTTGCCCGTATGACCTTGAGTAGCTAGCGATGACAGTTATTGTTTTTCTGCTTGACAACAGCGCAGCAATGAACCAGCGCACTTTTCAAGGCACTACGTTACTAGACGTAGCAAAGTCTGCGATAGAGATTTTTTTCAAAGTTTGTTTATGGAATAATCTTAATAACATTAACTGGTAGATAAGGATGAGCAAATCAAGAGTAGATCGTTATTTTGTGCTTACTTTGAATTCTGACATAAGTTATGTCAAAGTATGTCATCACAATCTTCTTAATTGTTGTAGCTTACCGGTTGGAAGCAGAATGTTGATCTTCAGTTACTTCATTCTGCCTTAAATAATATAAAACCAGACGGTTTAGTTGATTTGTCAACTGGTATTCAAAGAACATTCCGGATGTTAAATATAAATAGATTGCAACTCGGACTGGAAAATTATGGGATGGTATTTAACATTTATCAGTTGATATTTCTTAAGGGGATTTATCCATCATGCATTGAACCCTCTGTAATAATATGTATTACTACTAGCATAGGCTCATACAGTTTTGATGGCCAAATTTTCAATGTAAGTTTGACATATTTCTTTAATTATGCTAAAAAGGATGCATCTATAACTTCCATAGAATCTGCCGTTCTTGGGAATGTTTTGACAAAAGAAACTTTCCGTTGGGATTACCGCATGTATTCTCTGGTACTTCGTTTTCCCGCATTTGTCAGTAATATTCATGGTGGTAGCTCCATAAGATCAGAAACAATCTCGCCGCTTAAAAGACTTGCGGAGAAAACTGGCGGTGAAAGTTTTGATGTTTACGACGGTCGGGAACTCCACCAGTGTCTTGACTCTCTTGTCACAAAATGCCAACCTGGCGTGGTTTTAAAATTACGAAGGTCTGCTGACTGCGTTGATGCGGCTCTCCAAGAGAAATCCGTAAAGCAGTTGATGTCAGTTAAGCTAATGGGAAGGTCATCGTCTTGGCCTATCCCAGAACAATTTTGGCCTGATGATGAGATGCTAGCATCAGAGTTGGTATGTCGAGAGTATTTTTATATTTCCATTGAAGCCACCTAGAAGTGCACATCCTGAAGTCCTTGTATCTAAAGTTCCTGTGGTGGAACCTGAGTTGCCCGAGTATTTCCCCGTCGACCGTTACGAGTTGACTCCATCACATTTTACGAAAGAATTTCTAAATTCGTCGGAGCAAAATATGGTTTGGCGGTGTTTCAGCTATGGTATCAAAAAGAGTCAGAATGCACCGTTTGGTTATTTAAAAGTATCAAGTGATCTCCAGTCAGTACATCTGCATATACTTCCTTACAATTATCCTGTATTTCTTCAGTTACTTGGTAAGTCACAGCATATGTTATGAAATTTTAAGGTGATATATGTGATCATAAACGTATGACGGAAGCCTGGGGTCATCAGTTTGTGAACTATCTAGGAACCATACCGAAATATTACTTTATGGTATTTTTCTTGTGATTTTACTGATTTTTAAAGCCCCTAGCGAAGGCGTTTGAACGAATAGGGTTTGTCGGGATGATTAAGCCTGAAGCTATTGACCGTGCACTTCCTTATCAATTGAAACATTCTTTGCAAAAGCTTCGGCATTCAGCTAAAATTGAATACGATAACTTCGTGCGTATGACGCAAACTGACAGCCCCACAAACCCAACTGTTACTGTAAGTAAATACCTTAGTTATTTGTTTTGTTTTAGTTACCATCAGCCTTATTGCCTTTACCTTTGTGGCCGCTACGTGAATTTAAATCGATGTATATCAAACCTAAGCGTCTTCATTCAAATTCTCTCCGACCTTGTAATATATCTCGAACCAAGTTGCGCGTAGTTTTGGGAAAAATGAGGCATGAACTTGATAACCTCCTAAATGGTTCATCTAGCATCCGAGCAGTTGACTTGATTCATCAACAACCAGTCGCCTTAATGGGTGATTATGTTAACTACAGAAATTCCCGGCAGGTCGAAACACCTTTGAGGGAGATAAATCCAACTCCTGAACGGTCAGATACATTCGGAAACCCTTTCCGACGGAAGTCTACATCCTTCGTCGCGGATGAAGGTTTCGTTGATGAGATGGATTCATTGCAAGTTAATTCTTGTAATCCGAATACAGTTTTGCTCAATTTTGGACGAAAAAAGTCTGCACAAACCACCAAAAATCCTCAAGCAAGAGTCAAAGGTAAGATAGAATTCAGCCAGTCAACTTTTTTTTAGGTCCCTTACCTCCGTATATTAATCACCTAAATTGGCGTTTTTTCTCGCCGAAATCTTCACCGCTGTCATCGCCTAGATCTTCGGATAATACTTTCAGTGAAGAAATATCAAGCGCGATTTCATCTCCCACATATACCGACAATTCCCCTTCCTTAATAAACCACTCAAGATTCGCCAACCAAGCAATTATTGAAAAAACAAATACTTTTGATACTAGAAATGCATCGTCATTGGAAAGTTTTAAATTAAACAAGAAAATCATGTTCGAATTAATTCATTTGGTTCGACAGCCTTATACAGGTAGGTTTGTATGTACAAGGACTTTTAGTTCTTTCGTTTACATTATCTAACCGTTAATCTTTTCCACTTAGTAGATGCAGTACTGTTATTTGACCGCATGAATGAACTCACTGGTTCAATTGGACAAAGAGAAGCTGTGGTTTCGATGTTGATGTCAGAAGCTTTGAGATTCAGAAGATCATGTCTATATTTTTTACTAAGTGACTGGCGAACATGGTTGCTGCAAAGTGAGAATTCGAAAGATCGTGTTATTTTGCAAAAATCGAATCAGGTGGCCGCTAAAATAAACCATATTCAGTTAAATGGGTGGTCCTGATCAAATCGATCTGTATATTATGATCTACTTAATTTATTTTGTATAAAACTTTTACATACTTAATACTTTCAGATGTAAATAACTGAGGGTTTATTAATAATCTTGTACATGGTGTATAAATTCCCCAAATGTTCTTTCAGAAACGGTCTTATTTTCATAATAACATTTTGCTCGCTAGTTTGTACACTGTTGAAATACAACAAAATTGCTAACAATTCATAATTCTATGGTTTTATCGCTTTAGATTATTACTGATGTTCTATTCAACATTAGTTTTAGGTTGCTTGAAGAGTGAATGGTGCTTAATTTCGATGGGAAGAGATATAATTGCGAAAAGTCGTCGATATACGTATTCGCTCAATTGTTCTCGACAAGTTCATTCATTAAGAGTATCGCGGATGATTTCAAAAAAAGGGAGTTAATCGACGTTAAGGATTGTCTTTCCTCAGTTTACGTCCATCAAGGTGAAATGGCCACTATACCACTACTGGTCACCAATGTACCTGCAAACAATATCATTCCAGAATACACAACTTCTGATGATGCAACGTCCTGTTACATTGTCGTCTTACGTTGTCCGGTTGGTTGTTCGATAGGACATCTGGATACTCCATTGCGCGCCAGGTCATTTTTCAGAAATTCTGAACGTTTCTTCTTTTCAAAAGAAAGTGTTAATGTCACAGTCCACATAGTCGGGGGTTTTCCAGATCCACGAAACATTTCACATTCTGTACTAGTTGAAATACTTTCATCACTAATATGTAGTGATCACAATTATGAACTTGGGGTATGCTGTGTCGGTGAAAATAACATCCTTAGCTCTAGTGGTGGAAAATCACAACCTGCTATTTTGGGTGTTATCTTCAATATCAAAACCAACCAAATAAATCCTGCTCGTATAAGTTGGAAAGCACGTGGACCTGTTCCTGCGTTAAGACTTTTACGCCTAGGCTGTGTAGGTTCAGATGAAATAACTAACGTATTCAACCCAGAAAGGGGTTACCTGACCATAGATCCTTTCCCGTACGAACGCCCAGCTTTTGTGAATACGCAAATAACATCTGAAGAAATTCGAGCTAGGTCCACAACACCTGAGCAAGAACCTGCAACATACTTTGAAGGTCAGATTGCTGTGCACCGCTTAAGGCTTCACTGTCCTAACTCCCTAATTTGGTTTGGACTTGGTCCACTGATCTTCCGTTGTGTTCTGGATTCAAATAAACCGTGGGTTCCTATAAATGGAGCTTCCACAGTTGCATCAGAAGACCCTTTAACAAACGTCGAAATATAACCTCATTATATTATACTAATGACGTCTTTCTTTTTTTCAAATGCAAAGAATCATTTTGTTACGCCAAGTCACCTTTATTTAATGCTTAGATCCTCTGAAAAAGATGTAAATGCGAGTTTAGGTCTGTGTAGGATATATATTTTTAAACATGTGACCTTGTATAAATGCAAAGCTTTAGATCGATGGAGTGGAAATGAATATTAAGAGAACACAAGCAATTCAAAATGTTAACAAGATACATGTAAATACATTTTGAGCAAAGGCTATCAAATGTGCCTATGTACATTTCAAGAAAATGTAACTGAGAAAGTCATTGTTCGGTTTAAAGGATAAATGTAATGATTAGAGGTAAAAATATAGACGTGATTAACTGTTGGTGGGATGCTGAGTTGTAGGTATGAGAGACAGTGTCTTCCTTTTCGTATAGGGGACCTTCAACACTATATTCTCGTATTAGCAATATGGGTGGCACCGGCTGTCCGGGGCTTAACTTTGCTGGTACCCACACTTCTGGAGGTGGCAGGGGTGGTTGTGGAAGGGTCTCCGGAATATTATCGACCCGCGGTGGAATAGGTGGTTGCGTTGGCTGAGTTGGGGGATGCAGTATGGGTGTATCCTCAGGAACTGTGTTGCCACTCCTACTACTTCCCGATGCACCTTGCCACTGTGACGAGCCTGCTGAAATGAAAAAAACTCGGTTCAGATTAACAAAAATTGGAAACTGATATTGTTGTAACAGGATACATCATGAGAGAGCTTTGAATTAATTATTAGGCATTCAGATTATTTCATGCTCATGTTCTCCGTTCAAGGTTTAAATTATTATTGCCTTTCTTAAGTTAATGTTAAAAAAATTACAAATCTTTCACTTATGGAGTAATTCTACGAACATTGTGATTTCCAATTTATGTTGATGTGAGGTTAAGAACTTTCTCTATATTAATGTGCGAATTGAGTCACACAACAAACTGCTGAACAACAGAGAAAAGGTTTGTTTGACAACTTCGTCTTGGAAATTGGTCTAAAGAAACTCAAGTTCCGATACGGGTTAAGGTTTTAGTTGTTGTTCGTTGGATGCCAAATGATTGTTAATTAAGTCATCGGCCCTACGTGCGAAATAATAAATAACTGGACATGAAAATTATCTGCTCCTATAATAACGAGCAAACAAAACAAAAGTAGTTTGTTCGTTTGAAGAATTAACATATACTAAGTTCATCCCAAATTATGTGTATTACAACAGGTTTAAGACACTTACTGTGGTGATCGTTTTTGTCCTCATTCCACTCTATGTTGGGGCCCATTCCACTAACTCCTTCCAGAAACCCTGAAGCTAACTTATCGGGAGAAACGTTCCAAGCTTCTTCATCCCCTCGATTTTCTGGCTCTTGCGTGCTTGGATAGAAAGCTAAATTTTTGTCTGGTTGGGGACCAATAAAGTCTTCAGTGTAACGCGTATCTGCGGCGTTGGGGATTGCCGATTCTCTGCCGGACTGTGGCCATAAATCTCGGGACCTTTGATATTGTGGTGTAAGGACTGATGGTGCTTTACCACTGCCTCGATTTCCGGAGCCCTATAAATAAAAATAAAGCAGTGCATCAGGTCACGTGATATGGTATCTAATAAACGTATGTTCCGGAACCAGTGAAATCCTTGGTAACTAGTTTAATTTATGATGCGTCTATGAGCGGTTACGTTTACTTGTAGTATCATTCGCTACTTTGAACTATAAGCTTAGCAATGTAAAATACGGCAGGGTAGCACAACTGCTTTAATCTTGTCTTTTAACCAAAAGACCTAGAACCTTGAGAAGCATCTTAGTTTAACATTTTGAGGTAACAGATTGTTGCTATTCATTCACATTATTTTTTATTGCACTGGTGAAATTTACACAACATTTAGGTAGATAAGTTTTCCTATTCAGATTCTGACTAATTAGAATGGGAAGACAATATTATATTTCGTACTATATTGTACGTAAGAAGCATGTTGAAAAATATCTATAGTATTTTACTGTATAATCACATAATTCAGATTTCCAGGTGGAGAGCTGAATCACTTACACGTAGATAGATTGCACGAAAACCAGCTTCTAAGTTTAAGACTACTAAATGTGCAAAAATAAATGAAACTTGAAGACTGTTCAATAAGCGACATGTTGTTTACGAATAAGCCTTATATAATAACGTATTCTGTATACCACACAAGTCGCTAATAAGAATTAAAAAATATTCAAAGGAAAGTTGCCAAATTTTGTTAGCGATATATATATATATATATATATGGTTACACATAAAAAGAATACTACATTAGATGTTTAACGTGGCTAGTTTTAAAAATATACATTATACCATACAGACAAAACGTATTTTAACTTAGTAATATCAAACTTGTTACAAAGTGAAGGGTTTATTGGTAATCATAGATCAATAGAAAAACATTCAGTACTTGACTACTCAGTCAAGTAGAACCTGGAACATATATGTATCGCTTCAGGTTACCAAATCATATCAGTACCGCGAAACTGGTATGAAATAATTAGGAGTTTTCATGTTATTTCCCTGAGGACATAACTAGCTGTTACATTACTGAAATATTAGATGTCATGACCTTAATCGACTCGGTCGGTCGCCAAGTTAAAATACTGATCTTATGAAACCTATTAATATTTTACAGACAATTTATAATAGTCCAGGATAAAGATGCTGGAACAGAACGAACAGTTGTATCGAAATCATATGCACCACATAGATAAATATTATAAGCTAAAGTACACAGAATACACTTTTACTGTCTCATGATCTGTCATAAGGAATGAAAGAGAATAAACTGTATAAGTGTTGTCTTCGATATTCAAACATTCAAAAACTCACTTCGCCAAAACGTTGAGAAACCTCAGAGGTTTGATGCCAAGAATTAATATTTTGAGAACCAGGTGTTTGATAAGGCATTTGTCTTGAGATCACTTGAGTATTATCCTCATCGTCTGGCAAAAATCCAATATTGCTTGATTGGTCAGTTGACGGTAAAAGTGATTCCGTGTATGTGCCTGATTTCAACGTTGGGTCTATGTAACGTTGTGTTGTAGTTTGTGGATGCCTATCTAATGCAGAATCTGTCCGGACAGTAAGAGGTGTTTGTCTTGTAACACTTTCTGTAACAATATCCTTCACTTCCAGTGATGACAAATCATTTGGTTTTTCTAATGCACTTGATGTTGTAACTAATCTCGTGGCATTAGTTAGTAACACAGCGGAAGCTGTAACAGTAGTTGGAGAAAACGTCGTCGTCATAGTTGTTGTTGTCGTCATTTCCGTTGTTAAGTGTCCCAATTCGGTTGTGAGTTCTTGAAAAATTGGTATGTTGAAGTCTGTGGAACCACTAGATTTCCATTTATTTCTTTGATGATCAACATTACCCCAATTATTGCGCCCACTAGATTTCTGTGACCATTGTTGTGCAGATTTTCGATCATAGTACCTATTTGAATCTGTACCTTGATTAATTCCTGTTCTTTTAGTATCAGCATTCATAACAGAACCGTACATACGAGGATCGTTTTTACTTTGAAGGTCGTCAGTAAACATATTATTGAATCGACTCGATGACTGCTCGTAAGTTTGGGAGAGAGAATCATCTGGATATTGTAAAGTATTCGGTTGATTTCCACTTCCACTCTACAAAATGAAGGAAACAAGTCAAAGTAATTTATGTGATAAACGGAGTATTGGTATAAGGTGTAGATATTTACAGGTAAAAAGCTATGAAATACGATGTTTTTGTGTTTTAAAAATCTGTAAATGGAGATAACTGAATAAAACAGATTATATAATTTATTTTTTGTTGCAAAAACAACCAGTTACATTCTCTATTACGTATTAGAAAATTTAAATATCTAAGATTAAAAATACTAATCTAGTTCGATGGTCTGCGCAGAGAAGTTGAATTTAAAGTATGTACTGGACAGCTTGTTTCGTCACAGTCTGAGGCTCTTTAGTAGTGTATACTCAAGACGCCACACGATTCAACCCATGATGAACACTTAACCTTAAGAACATTGACTTGGAACAGAACAGTCGATATTCGCAACTCCAATCAATTAGCGGTAAACCGCGATTGTTTCTCAACGTCATTGGTTGTATCTGTCCCAATTTTGAAAGTCACTAATCACAATTTCCTAATAAAACTTCAGATATTCACCTTCCACAACTTGCCACTAATTAGCAGATCGTAATTGAGACAAATGTGATTGATGAAATTAGATAATGGTTGTGCTATGTTATAAATTGACAGAAGTTAGATATATGGATCACTGGCTTCACACTATAATAGACCTGCTTTTCTGTAGTATTCACGCTAATCTCAGTCCATGATGACGGTCAGTTCAATTCGTGATAGCTTCATTTACAATTATGAATTTTGTGTAAGTTCATTATGTAAACATATTTCCGCCAACGCTTTTATAAACAATAAATGTAACCAAGATGTTTGGATTAATTCCAGTAACTAATTTAATGTTAACTGTGTTACAGAATTAAAATCAGGAATTGCAAACATATTTAGTACCTTTGAGTGTATCAGTGATGATCAGAAAGTTGAATTTGTGCAGCTTTGATTAAGGTAAGGCTATGAATCATTCACTGAATGATCATATACATGTATAAACATGGTCGAAGATAAAAATGATGAGTTACAATTGATGTTCAATTTATGTATCAAAAGTAACATTTCCAATAATTGTACAGTCATAAAACTATATAAATTAACAAGAATACATTGAATAAGGAAGGTATTTTCTCAAGTTATAATGACATCAAAGTGTAATAAAACCGATTGAGAACTATTATCATTGTTTTAATGATAAAATTTGTTTCACTAAAATTATTTTAACTTTGAAATATTTCTCGTGTTAAATTGTATGCAAAATATGGTTATATCAAGGGGAAGAAACATTATACCACATTACGAAGGAATAATAACATAAGTTAGTTTCGAAATA